CTTTTTAGTGGGACCGAGTTCCCAGAATATCAGAAACCGCTCCGAGTGCATGTTTTGCCCAGATCCAATTCGCTCAAGATAACATAAATGGAGAAATAGAAACCACTGCTAAAGTCCAGAAATTAAACGGTATCAGTGAATATCTTTCACATTAAAAAAGGAGGAAACTGTGCCTCGTCGGGGCAAAATTTTAAAATCGATGAGAAACACTACGCTTCCCAGAATGCCAAAATCAAAAAAAGACCTTCAAAATCTTTAAAAATCAATGTTGCTCTGGACAGGAAATTGAAACAAACACACATATTATTATTAAGAAACACACAAATCGAGCATTAAATGCTGTTTGAATCCTGTTTTTAAGATGGTCCTTTGGCTCGAGATTAGATTAACAACAGGTGCATCTGGTAGAAACAATAAAAAAACTTTAACTGGCTTCTCTTGTTTTATCCGCTAACCTCAATCCTGGCCTTGAGTAGAAAACCCTAAAATAAACCAAAGTGAACAACTCACTGCAGCACATTTTAAAAGGAAAAACCACATTATAAAAACACTACAGTCCAATCAGCTCATACTGAGGATTAGCCAAACCTATACTGAAAAGAGATAGATAATATACTGTAGATTACTGTTGCAAGTCTCTTACACGTATGTATTTATAGTTCAGGGGGCTGCGTTCACAAAGCCTCCACAGACAGCAGTGCTGACCCAGGGGTCAGCTGAGAGGTCATACGAAGGAGCGGACTTGACCTTTGACCCTGGGTCAGGATGACAAGCTTTGTGAGTGCGGCTCCGGTGTGGTTAAGTGTAGAAGCGTTTATAATAAGACCAATACCACAGCACACAGTCACTGGCTGAAATGTTAGGCTTCATGTTATGATTGACTACAAAAAGACTCAAAGTAAAAAATAAAAAGAACATACCAAAATAATGGCATAAGCTCGCTCTCTTGCTTTTACTGTTCAATGCTGTGATATGGAGGCAGAAATGATGAGTCGTTACCAAGCTTCAACAAGTGCCGGTGGCGCATGTTTTCCCAAATCGGCGTAAACCTGGGCGGGGTGGCGTCTTTCGTCACAGTTTCATTGGGAGAACTATTGTATGTCACAATGTTTAAACAGGTGTGAGTTTGACTACACTGGCTTTATGAGAGTTCGGCCTTCTGATCGATTTACCAAAAGAGAACCAGCATCGCTTGTTTCCCTGTAGATCCTCCTAGTGTATGTTCGGTAATCATGATGCCAGGTTACAGGACATTTAACATAAAGCTTTTTTCCATCAAATTGGGAAAAAATAAAATACAATGCTCTTCACAAATAGATTAAGTTAGAATTAAAATCTTTCATTTCTTGTAAAAGATTTTCAAATATTACTCTTGTAATTGTTTTTCTTAATATATATACATATATATTTCTTAATATTATATGTTTTCTGGTGCACGGATCTCATGTTTATCTCAATGAGTTTATTTCAACAAATGATTAAATAAAAAAGTTGATGCAAAATACAAGACGTAAAAAACACAGTCACTGTCCCGAAAATTTAAAAGACAAAATAGTTATTATGGTTCAATTGATTTATAGGTCTTGTATTAAACTGACTAAAAATTAAACCTAAATTATTAATGACACATCAGTTATAGCCGTAAAACTGGTCTGAATATTGAACTGCAGTAGAGAATCACCAAATTAAGGATTTTTCATCAAAGTACAAAATACAGATTGGATCTTTAAGCAATTCTGGAGGATTTTATCCAAAATATAAAGATTTTCAACAAATCACACATGGTTTTGATTTTCATTCTGTGTCTTATTGTAAATTTATTTCTTTAAATAGAATCTAAATCAGTAAGTCTTTCACAAACCAATAGAAAAAAGTCTTTAGCTTTAACTGTGCTCACTTCCTTATCCTTAACACCTTATACGGGATCCTGTCCAATTTTTAGCAGCTCTAAAGACTTTTATCCATCATTTGATGTAATTTCTCCCAGCGGGTTCAGACATTAAAATTATGTCTGAAAAATTGAAATACAGCGACAGTTAACCAACATGCTATATATTCAACTGTAATGTCCTTTACACATTTACACATAATTGTGCTGGTTCTATCGACTCATGTTGGTGACCAATGAGCCAAACTCTCACACCGGCAGTGTAGTCTCTCAAGGAGAGTGCGCATGTTTTGTAAAACAGGCACGTCCTGGAGAGGCGGAGTGATCCTCTTAAGGAGCTATTCTTTCCCTGATGACTTGTTTTCATAAATTCCTTCTCGACATTTGGCAGATAAGTTAAGATTGCACTATAATTAGATTTTCTTGTGCTATACCATGTGTTTTGTAAACACATTACCTCCCCCGTAACCACTGGGGGTCCACCTACCTACAGTTTGAGAGCTCGTAATATTGCTAATTATTATCACTCAAATATGTAGGGTGGGGTGGAGGGGGGGAATGGGCGCGATTGCTTTTCACAGCTGAGTGTTAGTGGTTAAAAATGAGCAGACGGGGGCGGGAGGGTGTTGAAATGGTGTGAATGTGAGTGTGTGTTTACTGCGCCATACACCCTGGGTGGTTAGATGCACAGACCCCCTAGGTCTTCAGTTCAAGAATAGGTGTTGTCAGGGGCAACCAAGCAAGCTGGAACTTAACCAACCTGTTGCCGCAGAAGTGCTAAACGTTCAGGGAGGCTGCAACAGAGGATGTAAGTGTGTGTGTTTGTGTGTGAATGTGAATGTATGTATGATTCATATTTTTATTTATAACACCCCTTCACTTCCACCTCAGTGTCTTAATGCCCCCCCACCTCCTATTCCCGGTCATTACCACCCACCGAGCCCCCGTCTCTTTTACGCTCATCTTTTCTTTTTCTTTTTTTACATATTTAGTCAGACCACTCGTTCTCGTCGAGCTCGGAGTCGTCATCGGACTCGCTGTACTCCACGGCGATGCGGCGCGAGAGGATGGTGGCCACGTCGTTGCCGACGGGCTCCCTCTTCGCCTCCTGCTCCCTCTGCTCCTGCACCTTCCTCAGCTGGATGCCTGGAGGGGAGGAAGGGAGGATGTGGTGGGGAGGGAAGGAGGGATGGAGGGAGTGAGCAGGGGCATTAACGGCCGGCAGAAGCTGAACAACGGCAGTCAGGTGTCATGCATGATGTTTTAAAGAGTTCTAACCCCACAAATTTCTTTGGTAAAGCTTTATAAGGTCACTTATGTTACTTTTATTACTTTACTTAAAGGGAAAGTAAACTCACCTCAAGTCAGTGAAAATAAATTCTCAAATTCAGAACCTTTGGGTGTAATTTTTTAAAATTATAATAAGAATGTATACTTACTTATACTACCTATACCAAGAATATTAAAGTGGACTAAAACTAAATTAAAACTAGTTTTAAAAAACATTTTAGTTACTGAAATAAAAAAGAAAGAACTAGTTTTTAGAAAAAAAATGTAAACTAATTGAAAAAATATTTTTGGTACTGAAAATAGAAATACACAGGAAATCTTTAGTTTAGTCCTTTAGTCAACAATTTTTAAACAATAAAACCAACTAAAATTAGTAACTAACTGAATTGAAAACAAAAATTAAAAACCAAATAATAAAAAACTAATGAAAAATGCAAATATATGTGGTATAAACTGAATCACTTAACTCAGCACATATACAGTATACAGTAGCCTATTTAATACAAATAAATATATCTAGTAAAAAAACAATAGCTTGTTCATACAGTGTTAAATATAAACTGTTTAAAACATTAACTACACACTTACCTCTACGTATGGCGGCCAGCAGGTCGGAGCGGGCGTCGCTCATCGGGATCATCCCCAGCATGGTGGACTTCCTCGACGCGGGCGCCGCATCCACAGCCGACTGTCCCCAAGGCGGCCGTGCGCGGCGATGGGTGAGCTTGGAGGCCTGAGGGACTCCAGGCGGAGAGGTGGAGGAAGCCGGCAGGGGGGCGCACCCGAGGGGGTGGCGGGGAGGGACGTAGTTTGGCCGGGGAGGAGGAGGAGAAGGAGTGAGGGCAGGCGGAAGAGGGCCGGAGGATGGTGCGGGACAGCGGAGGCGGCGGCGGAGGCGGGCGGTGGTGAGTCGATGCTGTCTGGGCGGAGGGGATGGTTGGGGGGAGGAGGGGGAGGGGCGGGTGGGATATAGTACTCTGGGATGGTGGAGGGCTGGCCGCTAGAGGGGGAGAAGGAGAAAAGGTGTATCAATAATTAGTTTATTTTTAATATGTAAGTTTTTCTCTAAACTGATGATTGACTGCAGAACAATAAATCATGAACTGAAGTGTTAAGGGGTAAATGTGGGACTTCATTAGTCTCATGTCCCTGGTTTTTATGGGTGTCAGGTCTAGGAAAAGTCATAAAGAGACATTTTGAAAAGGTGAGTTGACATTATTTAACATTCGAAGCGGCAGGCAGTTGACATTAGCTCGGCCTTTACAGTTTAAACATCATGTTTCACTGCAGTCATTTAGCTATCAAGAGTAGAAAAAGGTAAAAGTGGGCTTGAAATACTGCTTAACATTCAGTTATTTTGACATTTTATGAATTCTTCCAGCTTCTTCAACACCATCAGAACACTGGTTGCTCTCAGATTTGAACCAGAATCAACACAAAAGATTGTAGAAAAAGATACTTTAACACAAAAATAAAACCTCATCTAAATGAGTAAACCTACCCGTGCCCGGCCCGGTATTCCTTAACCGACTGCTGCCTCGGCCCGTTAACCGTTGGATCTCCACCACCCTGGACCCCGTGTCCTGATGGGGCTCTGCCCAGGGAGGCCGCGTGTCGCCCTGCCGCCGGTGGCCCTCCGGTTCCCGGGGGCTGGTTTGCCGGCCTGAGACCCCGATCCAGTGACTGAGTCTGGGCCGCGGCGCTGAGGTGGTCCCTGGCGTGGAGGTCGGTGGGGTGGACGGCGCTGGGGGCCTGGGTGGAGGGGTGGTTGGGGCTGGCTGGGTAGGAGTCGGACGCCATTGACCTGTTGGAAGGAAGGTGAGGACATAATGGTTAAATGTAGAAACAAATACTAATAAAAAAACATAAATAACAGCACTGACTAAATCTAACTTTCCCATAAGTTAATATTTGCACTTTACATTCTGACTTTTTATTTCCTCCTGAATCCCTGTTTTGCTGCAGCAGTGATCAGATCTCTCCTCAAAGTTTGATCTTTTCTTAGAAAGACTTAAATGTGAAAGCGTAAAATCCACATGAAATATAAATTCATATGCTCAGAATCACTTTCTCCAGAAGAGGGCAGCACAGAGCTTTAAATGAAACAGCAGGTAGGCATCTCCGTTTACAAGTATGTGCTCAAATGTGTGTAATTCTTAGACTTTGAGTGCTTGAGTAACAAAAGCTGCACACTATATGCTATTTATAGCATAGCAACACTATTTATAGCTTTATACAGCTAAAATTACAGTTTGTATATCATCCCAGTGCAGAAAACCTCACCCTCAAACACCAATACTTAACACTCTGACCCAATTGTGTGCACACGTATTCTCACTCATGTCAAGTATTGTCATCCCTGGTCACCGGAGAGAGACGACTCCACATAAAAAAACAGTGACGTTTATGTGTTGTCAGGTTACATTGTGACAAGGCAACAGGATCCTTGAGGAAAACCTCACACATATAGGGACAGTGTGAGTGTTTGTGTGTGTGTGTACCTGCTATCAGGGGACAGGGAGCCTTCAGAGGACATGCCATGGTAAGGGGAGGGGGTGAGCCTGGGGTCTGGTCTGAACTCTTTGTCGTAGGCCAGGACGTTCCACTCCTGACGCCGGTTACGAGCCTTACGCACCTTCAAAAAAGGTGGAAGAACAGTGAGTGAAAAGTACTTATTACTTTCTTCGGCACATTATGTGTCTGTTAACTAATGAATAATGGAAGGTATGGTGTTATTAAAGCTTAGACTGAGAGGACTACAGTACATCTGTTACTGTCACTTCAGTATTCACTAGCGGTGGTCTGGATAATTACCCCAGCTGTACCTCTCCATTAGGGACAGTGTTAATGGGCATTGTAGAGTATCTCAATGTCTTTGCTTTAATATACTTCTATTGAAGATGGTTTTGGAGTAATAAAAGTGTTCTCCACACTGGCAAATGGTCTCTGCTCTTCAATTTTTACTCATAAAAAGCCAAGTTCACGGAGTTCACCGTCGGCTATCTTAATATCTGTGTCACATCTTCTTCAGCCCCTTTGTGATTCTCTCAATTCAGCCATTAGCTAATGTGTAGCACCAGTGTGTACAGCAGTGGTGAATGAAACAGAAGTCCAAATGAACTTTAGTTCATTGTTATAATTTAACTTTTAGACTTAGTTTACTTTTTATTCCCTAATGGTCTCTATTATCTATCCTAAAGTCAGCCTCTAAATTATAACACTCAGCTTAATAGAATGTCTTTGAATGTAATTAATTTCATTTGTTTAGGCAACACAAAGCATTGTCAAACATCACTTCCATTAAGCTGTTTTCAGCAGACAGGTCACAAGTAATTAACTTGGCATTTCATAATATTCGCAGCTATAGTGAAGTTCAGGCCTGTAGAGTTTATATTAGAATAATTCTAATGCGAATTAGCATAAATGCCGTTCTTTTGCCTAAATGATTATTAATATGACCAAATAATACACTGAGGTTTAAGCATAATTCTCCTTGCTGTATTTAGTGTTACTTGTAATTTGACCAGTGTTCAACCTTAAAGGACCAGTGTGTAACATTTAGGAGAATCTATTGGCAGAAACTGCATAATAATCATAGGTATGTCATCACTAGAATGAGACGTTTTTATCTACAAACATCCCGGGTCGCTTCCATGGAGTCCGCTATGTTGAACCACTATGTTTCTACAGTAACCCACAACAGACAAACCAAACACTGGCTGTACAAGTACACCCGTTGTCATTCCCAGCTCGTCAAATACTATCACTGATGTGAGCAGTATTTATTAGTTGCAATCTGCAGCTCCACCACTAGATGTCACTAAATCCCAAACACTGGTCCTTTAAAAACAAGTGCACTTCCCAGGATCGCTGTGATAGTGTGCCTCTGTTCCCAAGACAGAAAATGTCTCATATTCGGGGAAAAGTATGAATCCCTATTGCCAGTTGATAATGATAACCGTGTATTAAACCTCACTGACCTTCTTCACCTCTCTGCCCGGGTCCTCAACCTGCTTCTGCTGCTCCTAGAACCGAAACAGAAGAGGACAGATAAGATAGAAGAGTGGAGAGAATCTTAGTCATCGATTACTGATTTCTCTCGGGAAGAGGAAGAGAACAGGACCCCATCACCAGCTCCTTCACCATGGGGTAAATTCACCAACCACACACACACACACAGACACACACAGACACGCACTAGTCTACTCACCACCCAGTCACTATTACACCCACCAACAAACACTGAAAGGACGATGGACAACAGAGCCAAAAACTTCTGGGAACACAAGACAGGAACCAAACCAAACACAGAGGGTTAGAGAGAGGGTGAGGTGGCAAGCTAACGCAACGTGACAAACACGGACACAAACAGAAGGGAAGGTGTGTGTGTGTGTGTGTCTGTGTCTTTTAACATTACAGAAATACAACCACTTGCTTGTCTTTTGTGTTTCCCTATGCATGCATCTCGTGTGTCTTACCTGAGTTCGTACATCCCCTATAATAGGTGTGTATTGTGTGTTAGTGGGGTGTGCAGGGGTAAAGTGAGGTGGGGGGCAAGAAAAAGGGGGGCAGGGTAGGGGTCGGGGGTTGTCTTACAGAGATGGACAGGGGGCTCCTGGGTGGGGCCTGTCTGGAGTGGGGCCTGTCAGGGTGGGCCGGACAGCCCTATGGAAACATGGGAGAAAGACAAGCTGGTGCGTTAGACTGAGCAGAGGAGGAAGAGGAGGAGGAGGAGGTGGAGGTGGAAGGGTGGGGTGTGTGTCTCTATAGATAATTAGACAAAGGAAGGAGGAAGAGAAAGAGTGTAGAGAAGGATGACAACTCCTCCTGCAGCTGAGCGTCTCCTGGTATTCAAACCTGTTATTTTCTGAGAGTGAAAACTACTTTGTTTCTGAAGCGATTTTATTCTGCCGAGTTTCCAGGTTGTCGGGAGGGAACAGAAAAATGTGAGCAGCATTAAATTGAACAGAAATATTGACAAAGTGCGGCAAACACATACAGCAGCCGTCGTTCAGAAATGATCTGATGGAAACGTGGCATTTTAAAGTGGCTTCGAATCAAAGGGGAATACCACTGAAAGGGAGCTCTGAAATATTTAAATCTCTACGCCAATTATGTTGGTCTTAGACGTGAACACACAAAAGAGCTTCACATAGAACTAAATGGAAAAGACAGAACTGTCAAAATGATCATTTTCCCCTCTTGAATTGAACAAATATCCATGGCTGGATTAACTCACAAGGGTGCCAACTGAGTCCCTGCTGATTAGTCAAACCTCCCGCTGCTCCTAGAGATCGATGTCGCCCACTCTGTACATTATCTGTATCCTTTAGTATCCAAAGAATACAGTGTCTATTATCCACCATTCAGACTGCTCTAAATTCCAAGAGAGAAAACTTAACATGAATTAAAAAACATGGAATTAGGTTTAAATTAGGGGTAAAGGAAAATATTAAAAAATATTGTATCACGACATTTTGTATCGTGATATTCTAACGATTCTCAAAAACACTGTAGTGATTTTGTGTTTAACCCCCTCCCCCAAAGACTTTTTGTGTTGTAAACGTAAAGTGAGGACCATGATGTTCTGGTTGCATAAAAAAGTTAACTTTTTTTACTAACAGTATTGCAGTTTATCACAATATATTGAATCGTAACCCCTGTATCGTGATATGTATCATATCGCCAGATTCTTGCAAATAAATATAATTATAATACATGTTTAAATATATAAAGAAACAATACTGTTTACCCACTGATCCCATGCCTCTCATTGCATGTAGAAATGTAAATGAACATTGTATGAGTCAAAATATCACCTCTGCTTTTCAAACTGTATATTTGAAAACTCTCAGGTCCCTAATTATATATTTCCATATTACAAAGCTACATAAACCTCTAAAAAGTATGTTTTATATATGTATACAATATAAACACAGCATATAAATCATGTAAGCATGTAAATCATAACAGCGTGAGCCAACATGAACAATACGAGGACTGAAACTGAAGCAGCTAAATGGAATTCAGCCATCATTTACCCCTGTGCTCCTCCTGCTGTAGCACATCAAAATAACTTCTGTGAAAAAGGCCAATGACTCATTTAATTTATGTGAATATGGCGTAACATTATAAACTGTTTAGAGCTGTATTCCCCTTAGGCCATTTATTTGTCTCTGGATAATGAGCCTGCCCAACTGCTGCTGTATCAATAACCAATTACAGAACAAAGCAAAGCTAAATGGTGAGTACAGTAAGATAGGAATGCATAAAATGAAATAACACCATTAAAATAAGACACAACTAGGCAGGAAAAAAAAAACAGATTAGCAAATTAAAGCAGATGATGAGTTTATTTTACTGTTCTGTCACGCTCCCTCACACATCGGGCCCATAGCATACGCACATACAAGCATGCCAGCGTCCACCAACTTGCACTCACAAACATTCACATACAAATTAACTCCACCGACCAGCACACACACACTAATACACATCCGTACCTTCTGCCGTCTCTTCTCCTTGCGTTTGTCCTCGGTGGCCTGCAGCATCTTCTCTTTCCACAGGTTGAAGAAGTACGAGGGGTCGGTGTAGAACTTCAGTGCATCCTTCTTGTCGTCCCTGTACGGGGGAAAAGTGGGTGGAAGAGAAAATAAAAAAAAGGCATAAATAATGTTTGGATACGTGCGTTGCAAGGGAGGTGGGAGTGGATGTGAGTTCAGGGGGGGATGGAGCAGGATGCATGAAAGTTTACTTAACTGGCTAATCTGTATTGAACACCAGAGTCAATACAAAAATGATACTAATTTATTTTTAATAACAGGGATTGTGTTAAAACTGGGAGGTTTGTTGGGATTAGAACAACAAAGATGATTTATGAAGCCACATGAGAAAGAACCTAAAATGAAGAGGGGGCACTAGAGAGCTGAACTGCCCCCTCACCTAAATAGCCTTTTGCCTTGCTTGCTTCTTGTGTTTCTTGGAGCATATTGTTGAGCTTTTCTGTCCACATTCTAGGCTAAATAGGTATTTTCTGCTACAATAGTAGTAAAATGTGATCAACTCACAGATTTAACCAAGATATAACAACAATATCTTCCAATAAGAATCCAAACAGTTTGAAGTTAATCAAACTACTTCTGTGATCCCTGCTTGGAAGGTAGAAAATAAACATCTAAAACTATGACTTACAATAAAATGCTACATGCCCCCCCCCTAAATCTTTACAAATAAGAGTTTTACACATATTTTGCAAGACTCTGCAAGCTGAATAAATTCTTAAACACAATTAGGCCAAGTTACTGACCTATAGGGGCTGAGGATGTTGAGCGGAGGAGGTTTGTCACAGCGGTGGTACATCTCCACCACAGGGTTGGGGACGGAGGTCCTCGACACCACCTGCTGGTCCTGGATGGTGCTACTCTTAAAGGCCTTCCGCATGTTAATATCCTGCAGGGAGACTGGAAGGAGGAGGGGGAAGAAAAACTGTCAAGAACTTGAAAATTAGGCTCCAAAACAAGTATTTGCTGTGTATCATTTACAGTGTCTGACAACATAATCCCCCCAAAACAGCTGTTTGGTCTCAGTTAGCGGTCATTAATGAAGTCAGGATTTGTGGGAATGAAGGCGGAGAACATGATCTCTTGTTTGTGCGTTTAATGGATGAAACACTATTAATCAGCCAGGGCACGGCTACTTAACTTCAAAGTTTTATGCCACCAGCTTGAAAGATAAGTTAAATCAGGGAAAACTGGGCAATTTGTCATAGATTTTTATAGAAATATTTGTTGCAGACTGAGCTTCAATGGGTGATTTAGAGAGTTTTGATGTTTCTATAATGACATTAGTGACAATCAAGCAGTAAAAAGGAAAATGCACTTAGATTTTTCAGAGCAAAACAATTTAATTTTATTGGATTTACAGTAGAGGAAACAGTTTTTGTGTTACTGCAGGTATATAAAATATATAAAATCTTGTTTTACTGTATTGCATTATTAATTTCTCCAGGTCTCCCAATGCAATACTCAGCAATACACAGCTCCGCATTTTACTTTGTCGTCTTTCCCAGCAATGAGAAGACAAGCATATTTTAATAAATTCAAATTAACAAAAGGTTTTCTTAACCTATTAGATGAAGACAAAACTACCAGTCCTATTAGGGGAGGACAGTGTGAGACAGCAGCAATCTATATTCTATGACAGTATATATGTTTTCAAATTAATGTTTCCCTTTTTTAATGTCTACACGCTTGCTCCGGCAATATGTACAGCGTTAATGTCATTGCCAATAAAGCCAATTGAATCTGAATTTGAGAGGTGGGAAATATTCATTATAATAATTTAGAGTCATAGAGAGCGGGATGGAGCAGAACAGATGATCCTCAATGTCACACTGGTCTGTGTGGCTTGGACCCTGAGATTTACGGGTTTATGGATTTTGCTGAAAGGCATTCTGGGAACGTAGGAAATTGCTTACGGGAGCAGAAATACAGGAGATGAAATACTACGGGACAAAAGTTTAAAGTTTAAACAGAAAAAAAAACGTTAAATTAGAACACTGGCTGTAACTTTTCAATTTGTAGATGATTATATAAAGAAGTGTTTAGGTTACAGTAACATGCATATAGGCTAACACATGATACAGGCAGCTTACATACTGTATGCACTGACATACACACACATACACACACACACATAGAAGGTGATAATAGGACAGCCGGGACAGATTAGTTTTAGAGCTTGTTGCACCGGCTTAACACACACACACACGCACACGCACACACACACACACACACACACACACTACAGGAGCAACACAGAGGCTGTGTGTCTGGTAAAATCTCCAAATACTTTGTGCGTTATGCAGTGTGTAGGATGGCGTGAAAATACGATTTGTGTATGTATAACAGGAGTCAGTATGTGTGTGTGTGTGTGTGAGTGTGAGACGGAGTGAGAGGGTGAAAGGGAGAGTGAGAGACAGAGAAAATACTCTGTGTATGTGTGTCAATCCCTTAACCCCACAGGAGATTTAATGCTACAGTACTGCAATGCTATCCAGGATCTACCAGATGGCTAGACACACACACACACACACACACACACACAGGCAGGTTCAGCGTACATTGGCCCAGTATATAATAGGGTTAAAGCATGTCAATGTGACATATGTTCCTACCAGTGATCTACGTGACTGCCTGTACTGTATGTACAGTGTGTGTGTGTGT